GACAGGGACGAGGTTCGTGTAACACTTTATCACCTGGATACCAGTGAAGCATACCACTGCGATAACTTTGTAATCCATTCTTTTTCAATCGTTTGCGAGCATCTCGAAAGAATTTATGTGCAGTTTATACCTGTAACTGGACTGCAGATCTTTGTGGAATATAAAAATTGTTCGTGTCGACCCATTAACTGCCACGATCCCCATTTGGAGATTTTAGAATTTTACATACACCACATGGCACGAAGAATATATACCAGGTGCGTTTTATAGTTTAATGGCGTTTTATACGTATCAGTCAATATTGTGTGTAGCAGACAGTATGTATTTTGTGTTTCGTTCCTTTTCAACAAGTGAACAGATTTGAAAATCATCTGTAAGTTGAACGCAACAAAATTGTCATATTGGAAGCATGATATTTTTGGTTTGGTTTTTATATTATAATTAAATACTATACATAAATATGTAATTTAGAGGTTATAGTAACCATGTGTTACTTACTCATTCTTTTGTTTTTCATACAATAGAAAGAAATTTTTCTTTTTTTTTGTATCCATGCAACCTGTCACAATCCCTATTTGGGACTTTTTAAAAAATATAAAATATTTTAACAACAAAATATAATTTGAGTATAATTATATTGTTGCACAACTTTGTGTGCGTTACATAACTTTTTCCGTTAAAAATTGAAAACAAAATTTGGCAGTTAATGGGTTAATTGTAAGAAATAGAAGCTACATGAAACTGTCTTTCCTCTTTTAATAATTGTAATAAATTGAAAATAATATAATATAATAATAATAACAACAATAATAATAATAGTAATAATAAAATAAGTATATAATAATTATTATTATAATAATTTTGTGTTTTATCCATTCATTTTTGTTATACATTACACTGTTTAATTTTTCAAAGAATGAAACCACCCCTTAATCTTAAAAAAATTCTATTAATCTGACACATGCTTCACACTGACCGTAAAAAACGTGTTTCACAAATTATTTCACCAAATTTACTATATTTTACTATACCGTATCTTTCGTTCTATTAAACTTACAAATTTGTTAAAATGATGATAACTTATATTATTTTGCTTTTGTATACTTTTATCAAGAAAGATAGCACATATTCTGTAAATATGAAGCAATTTATGCCAACATTTCCACAAGGATCCGCTTCATAACTGCTTCAAAATAGAATCGCAAAGATCGCTATACTTTTAGCATTGCGTAACATTAGCGGGAAATATCCTCGCGCCTTTTAAACTAAAATAACTTGTTTAAAATTGTACCGTACGTCTTGAATATCTTCGAGATATTAGTGAGAATATTTCAGTGGACAGTGTCTAAAATCTGTGTCGCAAAAATAGTAAACTATTAACAAGTAAAAAGAATTCAACACGTTTGGTTAAAAAACAGTATGTTCCGTTTTAAAAATATTCCGTTCCGAAGATTTTAGTGAGTGAACAATTGAGTTCTTTTCCAACAAAAAAAAGGTAGCACACGTTCCCTGAATATAAAAGAAACAATCGGGAGAAATAATGAATATATATATAATAATGTATATAATTATATATATAATAATATATATAATATTATTATATATTATTATTATTATATATATTATAATTATTATATATAATAATATATATAATATTATTATATATTATAATTATTATATATAATAATATATATAACTATTCGCAGTGTCCCGAGAACAAAATCGCAAATATTAGTTTATTTTCTTCGTAATAAGCTCGGCTCCGCCTCGAGCAACGTCTGAATAAAATTAGTGGTGCTTTCCGAATGAAAAACGCTGTCGAATTTATTCGACAACCTAATATTACGGATCGAATGAACCCGGTATTATCAAGAGAACATCCCTTTCGTCGCGATCGAGCCGCTGCTCGGCCTGCGGAACGGAATAGAATACACCCGAAGGGTAGATTACATTTTCCGGCGGTGTTTCTTGAATGCGACGGAATACCTTTGACGTCCGCGAATCAATCGGGGATCCGTTCAATATACTTGGATTTCGTTTCGCCGGCGAGCGAGGAGAGATGTTTAATAAAATCCATGAAACGGTCCGACGAAGTCTGGCAGGATTTTTAAATGGCACTTCGTCATGATTCGTTCGGCATCCAGGTCCTCGATATTTATGAGGCAGTCATAAATTTCCATGGCCCACGAGAAATGATTTCAATGTAAAGTATTGTTAATACACCGCTCGCGGCTCGTTACCGGATACCTGGAATTGTATAAACAGTGCCGGCAATATCCTCCGCAGTCTGTCCATTATAATATCCGTTAATCGTACCCGGTTGTAATAACGCCGGAGATAATCGTGTTTTTCAGTTTATCTTGTTTGCCTCGAGTACTGTTCGGCCGTTCCGCCATCCTCGAGTCCCGCTAATTGTATTGATAAACAATGCTGTTGAAACATCTGCATTAACTGTTCTAATTATCTTTATGGTAATTGGTAAGGAGGCTAAACACACCGTGAGAATTTGCTGCGAGGCTCTGCGTGTTCGATCTGAATCGGGCCTTTTTTTTGCATCGGGATTGCGGTTTTCGCACGTTGTACAGTAAATTCTCCCTAATTGACGCTTAGATTGTGCACAAAAATGGACGATTTGGGAAGAGGAGATACGTTTATTCGAGCATCGCGGCTCGTTTTTATAGTTACCGATTCTCTCAATAATTATACGAACTAAAACTAAACTAAAACTAAACTAAAACTAAACTAAAACTAAACTAAAACTAAACTAAAACTAAACTAAAACTAAACTAAAACTTAAACCAATAAAACTAAAACTAAACTAAAACTAAACTAAAAACTAAACCGCTAGACTCGAATAATCGTATCTCCTCTTCCCAAATTGTCCATTTTTGTGTACAATCTGAGCGCCAATTAGGGAGAATTTGCTGTATTCCAGTTGTTAACATGCGCAGAGTACAGAACGCTCAATTCTTTAATACTAATTNACTAAACTAAAACTAAACTAAACTAAAACTAAACTAAAACTAAACTAAAACTAAACTAAAACTAAACTAAAACTAAACTAAAACTAAACTAAAACTAAACTAAAACTAAACTAAAACTAAACTAAAAACTAAACCGCTAGACTCGAATAATCGTATCTCCTCTTCCCAAATTGTCCATTTTTGTGTACAATCTGAGCGCCAATTAGGGAGAATTTGCTGTATTCCAGTTGTTAACATGCGCAGAGTACAGAACGCTCAATTCTTTAATACTAATTTTACCACTATTTTGTATATTTCTGTATCAAATTCGTTTTATAATCGTTTCAGGAGAAGTTGAGAAATCAATCGACGAATAGAAATGAATTTTAACCCTTGCATACAATTGCAGAAATCCAACACAGTAATTTTCACACGTTAAATATACAATATATTATGCACATACAATATACAATGTTTATATATTGCAGCAGAGTGTAGACTTGAACTGTATAGAATGTGAATTTGATATTTAAAAACTGGATAAATGTGAACTGACATTTAAACGTTTTAAACGTGACATTTAAATAGTGTAACATTCTTTTGTTACTGAATCAAATTGTGCATTCAAAGGTTAAAATGAAAATTTTAAAAATGAAAATTTTAAAAATTTTAGATGCTGTCTGTCGACCTCTTTCGTAACAATTGTGTTAATTTATAGAGAGAAGTAATTCTAAACTTGACACTTTGGTAATTGAGCTACACACGGCTTTTATAAATTATATACTTCA